TTTTCTAAAACTAATTTTTACTTCATTTCCCCCAATTTTGGGGGTGAGAGTGGACACTGCTCTTTCTTAAAAAGTAAAGTACACCTCCGGTTCACCTATAGATCCATGACACGAGTGCGTGATCATGACGATGATTGTTTTGCTCCCCTTTTCAGCTTCATCACGGCCATCGAGCTGCTGGGCAACCCCGCGGAGATGTACAGCCACGGCACCCAGTTCTGGATGACGTGCTGCGCCTTCCTGATCGTGGTCCCCGTGGCGTCGCACTGCTACGTGCCCGTGTTCATGACGCTGCGCCTCACCTCCTCCTACGAGTACCTCGAGATGCGCTTCAGCTGGACGGCGCGCCTGCTGGCCTCGGCGCTCTACGTGCTGCAGATGGTGCTCTACACGTCCGTGGCCGTGTACGCGCCCGCGCTCGCCCTCAGCCACGTGACTGGGCTCAACACGTACGTGGCCGTGACGGTCGTGTACCTGGTGTGCGTCTTCTACTCGTCGCAGGGCGGCATGAAGGCCGTCATCATGACGGACACCTTCCAGGCCGCGGTGCTCATCGGCTCCATCCTGCTCATCCTGGGCATCGGCGATCACTTCCAGGGCGGCCCGTCCATGATCTGGGACTTGAACAAGAAGGCCGAGAGGATAGAGTTCTTCAAGTAAGTGATAAATCTCCTTTATTGCCGGTGCTGTTTTCGCTCAATTGCCTTTACCGTGACGGTAAGGTAGTGTAGTGTCGATCGAACCACCCCGTCTTTACAATGTCTCTTTGTACTGCAGCGTGGACCCCAACCCCACGACCCGACACACGTTGTGGTCTGTAGTGATCGGCGGCTCCTTCTACTGGCTGTCCATGTTCTGCGCCAACCAGGCGTCCATCCAGAAGTACCTGTCCGTGGAGAGCCTGGCGCAGGCGCGCAGCGCGCTGTGGGTCAGCGCCGCCTTCCTCATCGGCATCTTCACCGTCAACTTCTACACGGGCGCCATCCTGTTCGCCGAGTACCGGGACTGCGACCCCGTGCGCAGCAACGTGAGTGGTGTGCGGCTTGCGTGACTGTGCGTGACTGTGCGTGACTGTGCGTGACTG